AATGAATTTAACGGCTTTTAAATGTCTATTAAGTGCTATTAAATTAAATACTGAATGTTCTGGCAGGCTTTTTAAAGATCACTTTAAATATTCTTAAATGCTCTCAAATTTGTTGAAGGGTTGATAAGGGTTTTAAAGGCACGTTTGCTAAGAGTTTTTTTGGGTTAGATACCAAAGCGTAAATATTTTTACTCCATTCATTATAGGCGATACTGTATACTTTTACCCAACATTTGAATTACCCTTCGGTTCTACATACCCTTTACTTCAGAGATGACCCTGTTCCTGAAGTAGTTCTTTATTTTTTAGGGGTGAATACTATCCTCAATTTTAGAATTTTAGATTTATTAAAGGCTCATAAAAGCTATTAAATTTTGGCGCACTCATAAAAGGTTTTCAAGGCGCATCTTTTGAACACTACTAATGCGTATTAAATACTTTTAAACACCTTCAACGCTTCGAGAAGACTTGAAATGTTTTTAAGACCTTAAGGACTCTTAAAGACTTTCAAGGATTTTAACTGGTTTTTAAACGCTCAAGAGAAAATTGAGATTTTTGGGGCATCAATCTCTTGAAAGGTGCTAGTGGCCCTTAAAAGCTCTTAAAGATTTTTAAAGATCCTTAAATGCACTTAGAGATTTGTAAATCTAGTCGCAGATGCTTTTCAGGATTTAGATATTAATAGTTTTAAAGATTATTACTCCCAAAGGTTTCAAGTACATCATAAAGGCCACCAGAACCTCTTCGCAACTTTTGGAGACTCTTAAAGGTTCTGAAAGGTTAATAAATGCATTTTAAAGCTCGCCCTTATAGATGCTTATGAAGGCACAAAAGGCTCATGAAGATTCTTAAAGATCCTTTAAGCATTTTAAATGCTTTTAAGGAGGCGCAAAAGTTCTTAAAGGCTCACTTTTAGAAAGAGGGCAAAATCTTAAGGACTTCAAAAAATTGTGGAACAGTAGGGGTCTCTAAAGCTCGTAATGGGACTTAAACCCTCTTTTAGATTCGGATATTAAGTATACGGGGTGTCAATTTTAAAACTTGCAGTCGGCCATATTTTCCGAACTAAAGAGGATATTGAAAATCGCGCAAAACCGTTTCGGGGGTATCGAGGAGGAACCAGAATGACGATATGAGTGACAACCACTCCCCTTACCCCTCAGTCCCCCTCTTCAAAAATCCTAAATGGCAACCCCATACTTGTGACACATCGTTGGAAAGCTTCTGAAAAATGCTTCATTAAGACAATTTAATAATTAACAAAAAAAAAACTAAATGTTGACATTGAGGGATTTATGGCAAATTGGCCAAGAACTTCAACCTGTGCTGCTTCATTAAGCATTAAGCACCAACAGACTACCTTTAGCAAAAAGAAGAACTCCAAACGTCTTTCTCCATTACCCCCGGTCCTATGTTCTATTATGAGACTTGGAAGAGTGCTTTTGTATGAGAACGTATTATTTTAGCTGCTAAGGGTAGTGGAGAAAGACTTAATTGAGTTCTCCTTTTTCCAGACCCACCGGTAGTATGTTCTACTATCATGGGAGCTGAAGCGCAGTGCTTTTTTGAGATAAATGTAACGGCTCACTGGGAGGTTTGGGGGCTATTCCATACTCATTAGGGGGGAACTCTTAGTATACGATTATTAAAGGTGCTAGGGGTAATAGAGAAAGATTTATTGAGTCTTCCTTTTTGGCTACGGGTAGTGTGTGCTTGGGGGGGGGGATTCCATACGCCCCAGACCCCCGGTGCTATGTTCTATTATGAGACATCGGGAGTCTGGGGGGTATAGAATACTACACCCAGCAAAAAGAAGGGCTCCATTATCCCCCCCCCCCCAAAGCGTACGATTATTTTTAGGTGCTAGGTGTCCTGGAGAAAGATTGAATTTTTTGCTGAGTGTAGTATGGAATACCCCCCAAACCTTCTGGTAATACGCAAAACGTGTATGAGACTTTTTTGTAGAGCTGATCAAGACACGTTGTATTTAACATTTTTCAAAAAAAAATGCAAATTTAAAAAATAACATTCAAAATTTCTCAAAAACAAAAAACTCTGAAGATGGTTACGTATCGAAATCAAAATAGGACGTTCTCGATTCCCCATCACCCCAAATTTATCGAAAATTGATCACGATTACAATACTTTTCTTTATGCATTTTTTCAGGGGCGGACTGGGTACTTACGGGCCAGGTGGAATTGCATAGGTTACGGACCATTAAAGTATTTAGTAATGAAGGTGGGGGGGGGGGAAGCTCTGTGGTGCACCACAAAGCATTTTTTGCTTCATTTTAGTACTCCCTTTTCGGAAATCAATTACAATACAGTTTTTTTTTCTAATTGCAGCTGATAATTAAAACTTTTGATTGAGACGTCCGATCGAAAAAGTACGATTTGTTTTGGATTCTACGCACCAAAATTAATAAGAAAAAGTGTTTTCCCGAGAAATTTTGGTGCAGTCGATTTTTGGTAAAAAAGGAAGGTTATTATACACTGCCTTTTTTTTGAGCCCGAAAAAAAAATTGTCTCAGATCGACCCGGAAAAAAATGTTCTTATAGAATGTGGCCTGTAGAATCCATAATTTCAAACAGTTCCAAGATTGGGCTACTAGTTCAAAAGTTACAGCCTTTTGAATTTTCTTTCGAAATTGGTTTCTAGTCCATAACTTTTGATTGAGAAGTCCGATCGAAAAAGTACGAATTGTTTTAGATTCTACGCACCAAAATTAATAAGAAAAGGTGTTTTCCCGAGAAATTTTGGTGCAGTCAATTTTTGGTAAAAAAGGAAGGTGCCTTTTTTTGAGCCCGGAAAAAAAAATTGTCTCACATCGACCCGGAAAGAATTTTCTTATAGAATGTGGGCTGTAGAATCCATAATTTCAAACAGTTCCAAGATTGGGCTTCTAGTTCAAAAGTTACAGCCCTTTGAATTTTCTTTCGAAATTGGTTTCTAGTCAGGGGCGGGCCAGGTGGAATTGCGTAGGTTACGGGCCATTAAAGTATTAGTGTAGTAATGATGGTGGCGGGGGGGTAGCTCTGCGGTGCACCACAAAAACATTTTTTGCTTCATTTTAAAGTACTCCTTTTTCGGAAATCAATTACAATACAGGTTTTTTTTTAAATTGCAGCTGATAATTAAAAGTAACAAAATATACAATCCAAACGAGGCGCGTCGCCTATCATTGTATTTCATCACTTTCATGCTACGACAAAAAATGATAAATTCATTGTAAAACACTTCAATTAAAACAGAATTTTTTAATTTTTTAACAACCTAACATCAACCCCAATTAGAGAAACGTGTTAATAACTTATTAATAGTGCAAGAAACTAAATACAGCACATACTTATACATTTCCAACGGGCCATTATGGCAATCGCCACCCGCCCCCTCGGGCCAGTCCGCCCCTGCATTTTTTTTATGTAGTCGGAAAGTAAAATATTTTGAAAAATGTAATTAATTAATGAGGATTATTTTACTTTTTTTAATTTTTTTATAATTTATGTTTTACTTCTTATAAAAATCCCCCCTTGTGAAGGGGTTAGTTTGCTGGGCCTAAAATATAACTTATTTTATGCTCTTATATACGCGTTCTGATGATATCTGCAAAAATATGTGTTGGGTTTTTTACCTATGACTCCATTTTGTGAGTTTTCCTACAGCTGTATAAGCTTATAAAAATTAAATGTTCTTTCGGCCCTTACATTTTAAAGGGCCTAACGTCAAAGGGTTTCAACAAGTTTCTATTTACGAACAATATAGTGAAAGGTAAAGGTTTTTTTCAATAGGAATCGAAATTATTTTCGTAATGTCTCGTTTAGTTTTAATGTTTTAATAAAAAAGAAAAAAAATTTTTCAAGCGCTTTGAAAAAAGGTCTATTAGGTACCTATAGTTTTAATCAAAAATGTATTGTTTTATGGTTATTTCATGTTGAAACTTTCTATTTTAGCGTTTGGTGAAGAAAAACGAACCTCCAACAAGCTATTCGTTCGTTATTTTGGGCTAATCGCAAAAAAATTGTGCTTCTGGCTTGAAAAATTGACACTTTCTCTCGTGAATAAGCCAAAAAGCATTGATTTTCATGACTGTATTGAACAAAATTGCTTAGAATTGGCTAATCTATTCATACTCTGTTCAAGGAAACATTTTTCAACCCTACGATGGGGGTAAGTACAACCTAAATCCAAATTATTACGAAAATCGGTACTGTTTCGCAAAATTATACGGGAAAACGGTGGTCGCACTATTTAATATTGTTGGAGAATGCGTTGACAAGTTTGCAACGGAATTTTTCATCTTAAATCTAGATAGTTATGACTTTTTTGAAAAAATGACTGTACCATACAATTGTCTTTTTTACTTTTTGACCCTGTATATCTCACAAGTTAACAATTTTGGATTCGTTAATGAGTTTCTTAAATAAATAAAACTGTTTGGCATTGGCTGGCTCGTTTAAATTTCAAAAAATATTTTTTAAAAAAACCTTTGCGGGCCTCACCACTTCGAATGGTGAAAGGCAAACAACGTCTAAGGATTTGTCAGTGGATCGCACAACCTGAAAGCAAATAAACCATAAACAGATTCTGCACTTTTTGGAAATGGGTCTCGGCGAAATTATGGAATTCGCCAGCATAAATAATTTAAAAAATTGAATTAAAAAAAGCTCGCCCTTAAATGATTCGTAGATATCCAAACACTCATATATCATATCTCTTATCAAATAATGGAGGGGAGATGTACCGCGCTGCGATTTTCACTTTTATGTATATTTACAATAGGGAAATATACGTATTTTTCCACTGAAAATAGCGTACATTTGAGGTCGTGTGTAACTTAGTTCATTTCTCAATTTCGACGCTTCCATTTCAAAAAAAAAAAGAAAGATCCAACTCGTAAGTACACCTTCAGTTTTTTCTCACTATAACCGGCACGTTTTCTAAGACGAGTTTAATCTAATCTGGCCGAGATACCCGTTTTTATCTTCTCGCACCTGTACCTCCCAAATTTTTGCTCGCGAACCAAAATTTCAGGGAACGCGATTTACAAAATGGCGCACTAATCAATCACTTACGTCACAATTAAGCAAATAGCACCACACCCTTTGGCGCATCAGATAATCATTTTGCCACGTTCATACCTGGGCATACGCGGCAGTTGTTCCTACAGTTTTATTACCTACAGGCACCGTCACTTTTTTTTTGGAGGTAAGTTTTCTCGCTATGGTTTTTTGCATGTTTCGGCCGCCGTTTCATCACTCATCAAGTTCAGTTTAGATACTGTGTTATCCCACTTGCTGCTTTTTAACTGTTAACATATCATTTATGATTACGTTGCTATATAAGTTACCTAAGCAGATATAAACGTATAGTTAAACAGACAACAATAATATCATTTAGATTATATTCTGATATCTAGTGTGCACCGCAGATTTCGTCCCAAAATCCCTTTTGGCTTCCGCCCAAACCCCGCAGGGCAACGTCCTGATAACAATCTAAAATCTACCCTCCAAAAAAATAGTAGGAAGATAATAGTGTTGACAAGATACTGTAGTTTATTATACCGCAGATATAATATCTTTATAGAAAATGTATATAAGGTTAAGGACGACGGTATAAAATTGTACTACCGGCGAGATAGTGCGGCGTGATAATCTTCAAAATATTTAAAAAGGAATCCCCTCGGTAATCTCTTACGAGCGCGCCCATTTTAATAATAAGGGTTAAAATGCGCCATTATAAGAAAGCAGTTATGTCAACAAGATGGCGATGCCGCACCTTGATCACGTGAATCATAAACTACCTATATTTCTACCTTCGCCCAAATAAACGTACTTATGTACATAAGGTAACGTACATGTTTATTATCAGTTTTATTCTAGACGTCTCTAAGGTGAGATGTCCTTATCAGTTAACAAACAGAAGTATTCTACTAAATTAAATCAACGCAATGTTCGTAAGTACCCCGCACGATTTTAAATTTTTTTTTCGAAATTGCGCCATTTTTTTCGTTTAGATACCTTTGCGAAAAACCTCGGCTTCCTTTATTTATAAAATGGTAAATCTGAACGGTATAGAAACGATTAAGTTACAAGTACTTACTTAAAGATAAGAGTTAATATAATAATAATGGTAAAGGTTATTAACAAGATTGATTTTCTTTTGTTTCAAAACATGTTTTTTCCGTTCAAAAAACGAGATAAAGGCTGTACCAAAAGTACGTCTAGAGTTCAGGTTTTCGTTTGTTCTGTTTGTTTAATTAAAATGACAAACACTTCAGTTGAAAAGTGGAGATTTTTGTTTAAAAATTCCACCTAATCTCCTTCATTAATACTGTAGACATACACTTTTTTGGTTTCTTGAAAATAGTCCAGCAACTGGTAGGTCATCTTCAGAATCAAATCTTTGGTCTCGGAGAGTATAGGGCGATCTGCAATTGTCGTGTCGGGAAAATTATAGAGTCTTTTCTTTCGATAAGCAATTGTAAGAGGTTTTAAATAGTCCTTTTTAATGTATTCAATTAACAGTTTCTTCAGAATCCCAAAAAACCGTTCCAAATTTTAAAGTTAAGAATTTCAAGGGTAAATTTAAAGCTACTAAGGTCTTCTAATTTTCAAACCAGGAGTCTCGCTTTAGAATTGCGAGATGAACTATTTTTTTGTGTTCTCTTTTAAGATTTCGACTCAAATTTCCAATTTCATTGATGATTGAAATCATTTTTTTGTACGATCTTGAAAGTCCAAATTTTAAAATTAAAGATTTCAAGCTTAAATTTAAAGCTATTAAGGTCTTCTAATCTTCAAATTTAGAGTTTCGCTTCAGAATTGCGAGATGAACTATTTTGTGTGTTCTCTTTTAAGGTCATGATCTTCAAATTTCCTTATTTGAAATCAATTTTGTACAATCTTGAAGCTCCAAATTTTAAATTGAAGAATTTCAAGTGTAATTTGTAAATTTAAAGCTACTAAGGTCGTCTAATCTTCAAATTTAGAGTTTCGCTTCAGAATTGCGAGATGAACTATTTTTGTGTGTTCTCTTTTAAGGTCATGATCTTCAAATTTCCTTACTTGAAATCAATTTTGTACAATCTTGAAGCTCCAAATTTTAAATTTAAGAATTTCAAGTGTAATTTGTAAATTTAAAGCTATTAAGGTCTTCTAATCTTCAAACCAGGAGTCTCGCTTTAAAATTGCGAGATGAACTATTTTTTTCTGTTTTTTCTTAAAATTATGATCATCACATTTCAACTTTCAAATTTCATTACTTGAAATCACTTTTGTACGATCTTGAAACTTCAAATTTTAAAATTAAAGATTTCAAGCTTAAATTTAAAGCTACTAACGTCTTCTAATCTTCAAACTCGCTTTAGAATTGTGAAATGAACTATTTTTTTGTGCTCTCTTTTAAAATTATGATCTTTAAATTTCAACTTTCAAATTTCATTGCTTGAAATCACTTTTGTACGATCTTGAAAGTCCAAATTTTAAAATTAAAGATTTCAAGCCTAAATTTAAATACTAAGGTCTTCTAATCTTCAAACTCGATTTAGGAATTGTGAAATGAACTAATTTTTTGTGTTCTCTTTTAACATTATGATCTTTAAAATTTCAAATTTCAAATTCCATTGCTTGAAATCATTTTTTGTACGATCTTGAATGTTTAAATTTTAAAATTTCAAGCTTAAACTTAAAGGTACTAAGGTCTTTTAATCTTCAAACTCGCTTTAGAATTGTGAAATGAACTATTTTTGTGTGTTCTCTTTTAAGATTATGATCTTAAAATTTCAACTTTCAAATTTCATTACTTGTAGTCACTTTTGTACGTTCTTGAAAGTCCAAATTTTAAAATTAAAGATTTCAAGCTTAAATTTAAAGTTACTAAGGCCTTCTAATCTTCAAATCTGGATTTTCGCTTCAGATTTGTGAGATGAAATATTGTTGTGTTCTCTTTTAAAGTTCACATTTCCTTACTTAAAATTAATTTTGTACGATCTTGAAGCTCCAAATTTAAAATGAAGGATTTCAAGTGTAAATTTAAAGCTACTAAGGTCTTCTAATCTTGAAACCTGGGGTCTCGCTTTAGAATTACGAGATGAACTGTTTTTTTGTGTTCTCGTTTAAGATTATGATCTTTAAATTTCAACTTTCAAACTTCCTTATTTTAAATGGAACACCCTATATATCATTTCATTTTTAGATTTTACGTAAAATTGTATGTATACCATGTGTCCTATTTTGGTTGAAACTGTAGTGTATTTTAGCTGTTTTTAATGATAGAGACTTCGCGCGACCTTATGCTTCTTTTTTGTGAAACTTTCAATACCACAAACAGAATCAGTCTAGCTAAAGAGTTCTTGAACAAACACTATATTTCCGGGAAAGAAAGCGTTACATCCGCCTTCATTCCTTATCGTCGGTGACTGATCCTTTACCGACTTGATGGCGATCTGGTGGCGCCCCGATGTCGCTCTAGATTTCTAGAATATTCGTTACATGACAATATCATTATTAGTTTTTGAGTTTTTAGTTTTGAGTTTCGCTTTCTTACGCTCATACCCTCACCTCCTTTGATATCTTCGGTCGAGGTTTCTTCGACATCTTTAGTTTCTTCGGCTCCATTTATCGAATCTTCGAGTTTTTCCGATTCTTTCAAGTCCTTCACATTTTCTATGTGTTCTCCTCGATTTCCTTGCTCTCTTTCTTTCGCTTGTCCGCCATAAGCGTAACAATTTGGGGGTGACTGTAAGGCCGAGGGGGTGTGGGGGGTATGAAAAACCCCCCCGTTATACATTCACAAAAGCGCCGAGGCGTAACAACTTGGGGGAGCGGGAGAGTGTAAGACCGGGGGGTCCAGTATACATTCTAGGAAAGAATTATTCTGTGAATCTCCCTGGCCAATTGCCATTAAGAGTTCCGAATTCTCTCCCTTCCTGGATTTTACTAACTTGAGGGGAAGGGGGGGGGTTATTTCATACCCCCCAGACATCCCGGTGTTAGAATCCCTCCTTAATATGTTAAGTCTTCAGTACTCGTGACCATTTTTCCCATTTTTCAAGAGGACTATCGAACTCTCTTTGCCTGAAAGGTGTTCCATATCTCCTTCATTCCCGGTTGCTATTTTGTTTCCAAAAACGTTTAAAAAATAATAAAAATTTGATGATGGGAGAGTGTTAGACCGGTTAGTCTGGGGGAGGAGGGGGGGTATGGAATACCTCCCAGTATATATTCTAGGGAAGAAATATTCTGAGAATCGCTCTCGCCATATGCCATTAAGAGTTCCGAATGATCTACCTTCCTGGATTTTACTTACTTGGGGGGGGGGGGGGGTATTTCATACCCCCCAGACCCCCCGGTGTTAGAATCTCCCCCTAATGTGTTAAGTCTTCGGTACTCGTGACCATTTTTCAAGAGGACTATCGAACTTGCTTTGCTTGAAATGTATTTAATATCTCCCTAATTGCTTCATGGAGTGTACTTACCTAGGAGGTATTCCAGCCCCCCCCCCACCCGGCGTTAAATCCCTCTCTTTCGCTCTTACAATGTGACGCCTTCAGTACTCGTGATCATTTTTTAAGAGGACTATGGAACTTTTTTTGCCTGAGAAGTATTCCATATCTCTCTAATTCTCTGTTGCTGTTTAAAAATTTGATGACTCTCATTGAAAAATGATCACAAGAGTGCAGAAGACGTCACAATTTGGGGGAGAGTGTAAGACCAGGAAGTCTGGGGGGTATGGAATACCTCCCAGTATACATTCTTGGAAAGAAATATTCTGTAAATCCCTCTCACCAATTGCCATTAAGAGTTCTGAATGCTCTACAATAAATTGGGGACGGGTGTAAGACCGGGGGTCTGGGGAGGTATGGAGTACTCCCCAGTATACAGTCAAGAGTGCCGAAAGCGTAACAATTTGGGGGAGAGTTTACGAGCGGGGGGTCTAATACTCCCCAGTATACATTCATAAGAGTGGCGAAACTATTTGGGCGAGAGTGTAAGACCGGGGGTCTGGGGGGGTATACTATTGAATACCCCTCAGTACAAATTCTAGGAAATAAATATTCTGTGAATCCCCCTCGCCAATCGCCATTAAGCTTACCTGGGGGGTATTCCATACCCCCCAGTCCCCCCGGTCTTACACTCTCCTCCAAATTGTTTTCGATACTCTTGTGAATGTACATTAAAAAAAAGAAATATTCCGATGAGATGTACTAAGCAAAAGCTTATGTAGATATTGGTCCTTTTTTGACCCGAATCAAATTTCTTTTCGCTTTCTTTTCGCCTTTTTGAATATTACAATTGTGAGCACTCGCTAAAAATTGGAGCTATCCTTTGAATTTTATGTGGAAGCTGCGACAATGTTATTAGATCGTGAGTAGGTACCTTTTTTGGCATTTTTTCCCGTGTTGATTTCTCATTCCTTAATCCTTATTAACACGTAGGTCGAATTTGCCTTTAAAGCAAATTTGTTTTGGCAAAACTTCACTACCTTCGATGAGTAAAAGTTTAACTTTTACTTACGAAATGATACACATAACGGCGGAAATTGATGCGTCTGTGACACCTACCGATTGTTACACTCGCACTTGTCCCTGTTTGAGCGTTTACACAATTGCTCTACGCCCAGTATGGAACTGACAAACTGGGATTTCTTAAAACGTACTTCTTGAACAAATACAGGAAACGCATGAAACACATATCTACCTACTCCCTTCTTCCTTTTCTCGTTTACCTACGGAAATAAGGATGGAAGATCCCGTAAAATAAGAACATATTTGAACGTTAAACAATTATTTCCCTTTTTCTCGGTCATTGCTTTAGTTATATTTCATAGGAATTGTCTCAGTTTAAAAACTAGTTTATGTTCAGAATATGGAGGAGCACCATCCGGCTTTCAGAAAGGTAAAGTCCGAAGTGCAAGTTAAGCGTGAGAGAAATTCGCCGGTCAGTGAGCACAACATGTCCTCGGTGATCATACGTCGACAGGTCATCACGACCGCGGGCACAATTGAGGAAAACATCGAAGAAGTGAAACACCAGCAAACCGCGGAAGAAGACGGCGCGAAATCTTCCACCCCCAAGCCGATGGGGGCCACGAACAGTCCGCAGCAATTCGAAGGTCAGCTGGAAGTGGGACATTTCCAAGGACAGAGCGAGCAGTACCCCGTGACAAGCCAAGAGTACCAAGTCCACGGTCAGGATGGCCAGTATACTGCCACGGTACAGGTCGCTCCCCACCTCCAGCTGGAGAACGGCCAGTATGTCGAGCAACAAGAAGAAAGGAAAGTGAGGGTGGAATACACCGATCTCGATACGGTCCCGAATTCGCAATACCCCCCAGGCGCCCACTTCGCCAACGAAAACGCTCAATTTATCTCGCAACAGCCGACGAGCCAACAACCGCAGTTCCAGCAATTCCAAAATTTCGCGATAACGAGGGGAAGCGACGAAAGCCCCCCGACGCCTGTCCTGTACAAAAGCGACCCCAACCTGGCCTCCTCGCGGATATTTCAAGTGAGTATTTCCTTTGCCGGTAAACCGTCCATATCGTACTCTTCCAGGGTTCCTACGAAATACAAAATACTCAAGCCGGTTCCGCGAACGGCGGCCAAGTCACGCTGATCGGCCACGGCGGCAACAGCTACCAGTACACGGTACCGGCGAACTCCAACTGGGCGTCGACCGCCACCATCTCGACGTCCGAATTCAACGCGTACCCCTCGACGAGCCACCATCAGGCCGCCGAGGGTATCGCGTATCAGAACTTCTCGGGCGCGACCGGCCCGAACTCGTGGTCGCAGCTGGACGAGGCGTACGAGGGACACATACCGGAGATCGAGGTGAAGGAGTGCGTCAACTGCGGGGCGAGCATCACGCCGCTTTGGCGCCGAGACGGCACCGGACACTACCTGTGCAACGCGTGCGGACTGTACAACCGAATCAACGGAGTCAACCGACCTCCTGTACGTACAACCAAAAAACCTACTACGGTAAGTTTAGTTGGAAATGTTTGTCAAAATTTCCAACTATTGCGGCCCAGAATTGTTCAAATCCATAGACGCCGGGGGGGGGGGGGGGGCTAGCTTCAATTACTAAAGGAAAAACCCTGATTTTCCTACCACAATTTACGAATATTCTTTACTTTAGAATATCCCCCCCCCACCCTCTCAAGAGGCTCAATAGAACTCGTTTGCGCCCTTTAAAGAATTATACCTACTCTGAATTCCATAGTACGAGTAAATTTTAGATAAAAAAACAAAATGGCTCCCATTTTTGCGCTCGTTCCGTTAAATTTTGAGTGAGTCTGAAAATGTCATAAAAAAGGTCTCTCCCTCTTCCTAGAATAATGGGAGTAGAATAGAAACGGAAAGGTGGTCCAAACTGAACATTTTTTAACACCCGAAATGGCTGTTTTGTGTGACTTTTTGCGCCAATTGCTAAATTTTGTGCGCCTTTCGTTTTCGAGGAACAAAATTGAAGAAGCAAAAGCGGTTGTGACAGTAGGTGGATTGGAAGAACTCATCGAGACGCTACTGATTCTGAAGATTTGCTTTGAAGATCTTCTATGTTATTGGCGCCCCAAGAAATGGAAGATGACGATCGCGGGAAAAACTTGCAAAGGCTAAAAAGTGAAAGAAACTGAAGCAAAAGATGGTGCAATCTGAAAATAGTGAAAGTAATGATGTAACCAAAAAGTGGGTGTATACAGGGTGAGTTTTTTAAAGTGCTACAAGGCGATATATTTAGTTTTAAATATTTTTATGAAATCCTGATGACTTAATAAAGAGTTGGGGGTAATTGTAAACTTTATTTCTTTTATGGGGGGGGGGGGGGGCACCTGTGTTCAAATATGTCATAGAAAATAATTACGGTTCCGTATTGTATAATGGAGTGAACCGAAAAAACTCGTGGTTGTGGTTGATCCATGCTCTAAATGGGGGTGAAGAACTATAAAGGAAATAAGGGACTCAATTCCTCATGGATCCATGGGGAAGGTTTTGAGGAATTCTGAGGTTTTGAGGAAATTGAAGCTTGGTTTTTTGCCCATAACTTTTGATTGAGACGTCTAATCGAAAAAGTACGGATCGTTTTGGATTCTACGCACCCAAATTAATAAGAAAAAGTTTTTTCCCGAGAAATTTTGGTGCAGTCGATTTTTGGTAAAAAAGGAAGGTTATACAGTGCGTTTTTTTGGCTCGAACAAAAAATTGTCTCAGATCGACCGGAAAAAAATATTTTCTTATCGAATGTGGCCTGTAGAATCCATAATTCCAAACAGTTCCAAGATCGGACTACTAGATCAAAAGTTACAGCCCTTTAAATTTTTTGTCGAAATTGGTTTTTTGCCCATAACCTTTGATTGAGACGTCTAATCGAAAAAGTACGAATCGTTTTGGATTCTACGCACCCAGATTAATAAGAAAAAGTTTTTTCCCGAGAAATTTTGGTGCAGTCGATTTTTGGTAAAAAAGGAAGGTTATAATACACTGCGTTTTTTTTGGCTCGAACAAAAAATTGTCTCAGATCGACCGGAAAAAAATATTTTCTTATAGAATGTGGCCTGTAGAATCCATAATTTTTTTTGGCTCGAACAAAAAAATTGTCTCAGATCGACCGGAAAAAAATATTTTCTTATAGAATGTGGCCTGTAGAATCCATAATTTCAAACAGTTCCAAGATCGGGCTACTAGATCAAAAGTTACAGCCCTTTGAATTTTTTGTCGAAATTGGTTTTTTGCCCATCACTTTTGATTGAGACGTCTAATCGAAAAAGTACGAATCGTTTTGGATTCTACGCACCAAAATTAATAAGAAAAAGTTTTTTCCCGAGAAATTTTGGTGCAGTCGATTTTTGGTAATAAAGGGAGGTTTTTTGGCACGACACTATTAAAATTTAAAGAATCTGAAAAATTGAAAAAAATTCTAGAAACGGATGTAGGTATCCTAAAGATACTGAAGGATAAAAAACCGCAAAGCATCCAAAACATGTGAAGAAATAGGAATTGGGTACATATAAGATTCTGACAACTATAAACAAATCAAAATAACAAACAAATTCAAAGGATGTAATAGATCAGAAAAAATTGAAAGGAATCGAAGGATACAAAGGATTGAAAGTTCCCAAGAATCAGAGGAACTCTAACATCCGAACAGTTCTAAAAATCTCTTGAATCTAAAACATCTAAGAATCTGAAGAATAAAGACCCTACGGAACCTAAATCCAAGGAACCCAGAGAATCTAAGGAATTGAAGAATCTGTAGAACAGAAAAATGGAGAGAATCCGAAGCAATTAAAGATCCCTAAAATTCGAGGAGGCTACAGAAGATTTCCAAAAACTCAAAAAATCAGTACTCGAAGAATTGAAGAAAAATGTCATTGTGACACATTCTGTGAAAAATCCATATTCATGGAATGAAGACACAAACCGTGAACGCAAGAAGACAAAGGCGGATTTATCTTTGTGTTGTGCATGTTTCTGCAACGTATACAGGGTGTATGTAAATAATTGGGTGGTAGGGGGACTAAAATAAACAATTTTTGCTTAAAAAAAAATAATATCCTGCAAGCCTTAAAATTGCATTTCTTCCTTAATTTAATACATGGAAGAATAGCTCTGCCTAGATTTTTCCAGTCGAATTTTTTTTTAATTTTTGGATTTGTAATTACCCCTTTTTTGGGTAGCGGCATCCGACTCTAAATTTTCCACTCAAAAAAGTAAGTACGGATCCCTTCGAGTTCCACTTTGTAACGGTTTTTTTTGTTGCCATGCTTGGCATGTAGGTATGAATTTTATTATACAGGGTGATCCTAGGCGGTCGATAGCTCCAAAATTTTTTTCAAACAAAATTATAAAATATCTAAAGTTTCAGATTCATGAATGGCCAATTAAGGTCCTTGGTGATTTTGTGACCATTGTGCAGGACACTAACTTAGCGGCACACCTTCTCTTTTAAATTCAAAAACGACAAATGTCATTTTTTACATAAAACCAAGACATTACGGAACACCTTGTATGCCTAACAATGTTTCACAAAACGTATGTTTTTCTAGTCTCAACCATTTTGGGCACTATCGGCTGCCTATACAGAAGGTTGACTCCCGCTGTATATTGTATAGTCGTTTGGTTTTCTAGGATTTATTTAAGAAAACGAAACCAAAGAATCAATATTAATATGCAGCTAATTTGAAATGTAACTCCATACTTAAAGACGGACACGAGGTAATAAAAACAAGGGTTTGGGTTCTGTAAAACTTTCTTGGGGGAGAAAAAAGGGGATAGGCTTCCTTTGCTTTTGCGTCCATGTCTTAGGTAAAAAGCATTTTCGCGTTTCCTTGATTTCCTCCACCGAAAAACTACCGGTCCATTTTTCCCAATGACCAAACCGAGCCAAAGTCCCAAAATGTACTTTTTTTTCCTGACTTTTTGGGTATGGCCTTTTCCCTAAACCGGGGGTGTCCAAAATTCCGATTTTGAGTGGAGAGCTGTGTTGAGGTTGCCTTCATAATTGAAAATGAAAAAATGACTAAGGTGGCTGCTCCCCAGCAGCAATACCAACATGCTATATACAAAATTTAAATAAAAATTAATACTGGAATAATTAATAATTAACTAATTCATTAGTTAAATGGCAGAATGCAAGACTGCTTCATCGCACTATACCTACATTATACTAGTGTAACGCAAATGTGGTAGTACCTTTGTATATATCTGTGCTAATTTTGCAAGCATTATTAGATGTGCTCAAACTTAAGAAAATATTTTTATAATATTAGGAAACTATAATAAACAATACTAGAAAAAACATTCAACAGTTTCATGGCTAAAAGTAAACAGCCGTGTTTTTAATACTTTTTTTTAAGATGCTTTATAATGTGCTCTAGAATTTTAATCTACACTGAATGTACTTGATTTACAATTCATTTTATATAAGAGAACTACAGTATACTACAAAAATATCGAAGTACTTCTCTGCAGTGGCTCTATGGCAAAGTCTCTTTAAATTTGTTATTTTCTTGCTCCCAATTTCCTATCTTCAATTTTGAAAAAAATCTAAAAAAGACAGTCAGTCAGTGGCTTTTGCATAAATGAGTTTACTACTTACCTCATTTGTACATCAGTCAGCACCTGCTGCTCATGAGAGTCTATACCATTGTACAAAACATCCAAATTGGCACATACCAAGTCCACATGGTTCATGCCGATTAAAGTGGTGTCCGGACCTGACTGCTGGTAACAGTAGTGTGTAGCTAATCTTGCTAGGCTAACGTTATTAGCCTATAAAAATGTTGACTTTGAGTAGGGCACATTTGAATCCCTTTTTTTATATGCATTGAACTATACACATAGTGGAACACAGGACGTTGACTGTACATCTCAATCTCTGTTGCTTTTAGGTCTATGATTTTCTGCATTTTTGCTCCAATATACTCATAGTTCAAGAAATAAATCTTACTCTAAAGTATTGCCAACCGCCTAACTTCAGGACACTAACCTTACAGTATTCATTGGCTTCAACGCAAATATCTTTAATAAATTGCGGTGCCGGATGCCAAGGTTGTGGACCTTCATCAGTCAGGAGCCCCAAGCAAAGCCCTGCCGCGTTAATAACACCTAAATCCCTCGCTTTAAAATCGGGCAAATACTGTTGAAGGGTGGTATCGATAAGCGACAAACGGCAGTAGCTCAGAACTGTATCAATTTTAACACGGCTCTTCTCAATGCACTCGGCCAAGGTGAACACTGAGTATCCGGTAACACCGATAAATTTAGCTTTACCAGTCCTACGTGCCTCGTCCAGAACCGGTAGAGTCTCCTGAAGAACGGTACTCAACGACTTATCATACTCAATGTCGTGCACCTACAAACTGTTGAAAAGCTCTAACGATAAAAGTAACGTAGATTTACCTGCAATAAATCGATGTACTCGACTCCCAACTTTTTCAAGCTAAGTTCGATGCTCTCTCTAGTTTTACCGGCGGAAAAATCAAACATCAGTTTCGGATGATACCGCCCAACCTTGGTTGAAAGATAGTAGGCTTGTCGAGGGATCCCTTCCAAACACTATTTGCAAATTACACGTAAATTTCACGGAGAAACCCCGGCATTTGCTCACCTTCCCTAAAACTTCCTCAGAGACCCCGTGACCGTACAAAGGTGCCGTGTCAATGAAATTGACTCCAGATTTAATCGCCCTATGTAAAGCTTCCTTGCATTGGTCGATCGAATAATCGCTAACGAGATCAGTTAAGTTACTTTGCGACGTCAAGATTATATTTAGTCACCCGTATTGTGGGCAAAATCCACTCGTTCCAATTGAAAGATGCGAAACCAACAAACCGGTTGCGCCAAACCGATTGTATTTCATCCGTCGTACCGCGGCTTCATCGTGGAAACCTGCTACAAACGTCGGTGGTAAGATCATGTTTGAAAGACTATCCACATTAAATTCATTCACGGTTGCGAAATAGAATAAATTATGTAACTTATGATAATGGTTAATGTTCTTTAATTGGTCACATGAAAAATCGCCGAGGATTCCCCTAGGTCAAGGATGGGGAAATATGCATAATACGCACATCTATATTCTAAAAACAAATTAATGATGATGACTGAGCGTTTTGCAAATTTCTTCCACTAATTTGGAGCCAAATTTCGACGCTATAATTAACGAACAGTCAGAATTGCCTTTATCATACTCAGGACAAGCTGATTTTTTGTTGTTACTTATAGTAAATCCTCTTTGGCCCGCTGACATGCTGTAATTATCTTATGTGGCCCTCTTTTAAATTTATTTTCCCATCCGTGCCCTAGTGGCTAGTAGCACTCCATCCTGGGATAATTCGGCCCTAGGCCCTAGATCTCATGTAACCGCGGTTGAGTTTTTTTATATAGATTTTTTGATGTTTTTTAGGAGTAAAACAAACATTTGATCCTGTATCCTGTGTCGCTCTCGGGTCCGTTAACTTGCCCCCCCCCCCCCACTGAGAGATTTGATAGTCGTATTATTTTGAAATGAATGCGCCCGTTATGCGCCACCAATAATAACCCTTGCACCATTATCGTTTTTTAGAAATCCGAAAAAACATTTGGGGGGGGCCAAGTGAACGTAGCCCCCAGTACGTATTTTGTCCCTTGTAACTAGGTCACCTGATACATTTGGTTATGCGCTCAATTGCGCCACTTGAATTAAAGCTAGCGCCATTACGATTAAGCCGTGACAAATTTTCAAAAAGTGGGGGGGCCAACTTAACGTTTTTAAAAGTTACTTTTTTTTTAACATCTTTTCATACGAAATTGTACTCTCAGGTATGCGCTGAAATGCGCCGTAAAAAGATATCTTTGCGCCATTATTGTTTTTTGGTTATCCTTAAATATATTTGGGGGGGGGGGCCAAGTGAACGGAATCCCCCATAACGCATTTTGCTACCGGTATTTGTGCCACTTGATACATCTGGTTATGAGCTCAATTGCGCCACTTGAATTAAAGCTAGCGCCATTACGGTTAAGCCATAAAAAATTTTTAAAAAGTGGGGGGGGGCTAACTTAACGTTTTCAAAAGTTACGTTTTTTAACATGTTTTTTCTACTACATCGTACCTTTCATCATGCGCTAAAATGTGCCGTAAACAAAAATCTTGGCGCCATTATAGTGTTTCAGAAACACTATACAGGGTGTTTTTTTGGGAGCTTTAGTTAAACGATTCTGGGAAAGTAAAATAGGTAGGTTTTTAAAAATTTGTACTTAGGAGTTACTCCGAACGCCGAATCGATGTAAAATATTTTCAAAATGGACGCACTTCCGGAAATAACTTTTGAAAACGCTAAGTTAGACTCTCCACTTTTTAAAAATTTTTTATGGCTTAACCGTAATGGCGCTAGCTTTAATTCAAGTGGCGCAATTGAGCTCATAACCAGATGTATCAAGTGGCACAAATACCGGTAGCAAAATGCGTTATGGGGGATTCCGTTCACTTGCCCCCCCCCCCAAATATATTTAAGGATAACCAAAAAACAATAATGGCGCAAAGATATCTTTTTACGGCGCATTTCAGCGCATACCTGAGAGTACAATTTCGTATGAAAAGATGTTAAAAAAGAGTAACTTTTAAAAACGTTAAGTTGGACCCCCCGCTTTTTGAAAATTTGTCACGGCTTAATCGTAATGGCGCTAGCTTTAATTCAAATGGCGCAATTGAGCGCATAACCAAATGTATCAGGTGACCTAGTTACAAGGGACAAAATACGTACTGGGTTTTTTCGGATTTCTAAAAAACGATAATGGCGCAAGAGTTACTATTGGTGGCGCATAACAGGCGCATTCATTTCAAAATAATACGACTATCAAATCTCTCAGTGGGGGGGCCAAGTTAACGGACCCGTCGCTCTCGCTGTTTGTGTTTACGTTTATTACGTTTCCTTGAAACTGCACAGAATTTTGTGGAATGAATAGTTCAACAACTCTCATAATAGTTCAAAGTGTCATTTTACAGTTGACCTACTACATATTTTTTTTTCCTGCAGGAATATTTAAAACCAAACGTCTCTCGCCTCTTTCTCTTTTCTGGCATTCCCCAAGTCTCACAAAAAGGTTTGCTTTAAAAATGCATACTATTGGTTCGGCGGAAAAGGACTGAGAAACCGAGTCGATAAAAGAGCCGGAAAAGATGTTCGCAGAAGCTTTAAAGAAACCAAAACCAAGTGAAAGAAAATGAACAAATAGCAAGATGTAACAAATATAATGGGAACGATAGAGAGAAAGGGAGATAGAGAAGAGAGAAAGATGAAGATATGATGAAATTGCGTCGTAAAGCAACAACAAATTAAAGAGTAAACAGAGGCGTTGAGTGAAAAGCTCAAAAACGAAAGGCACGAAATGTAGGGCATGTCGCAAATTATCTCAGACGGTATCAATTCAGAGGTGTCAACTTATCTCACATATGTCAAATTATACAGGGTTTCAAAAAATTGGGCGGCCGAAGGACCAAAAACTCTATTGTGTTATAGTACTAAAATCTAAATATTTTTATATAGCTATACTAATAAAGCAAAGAATTTGATGAAACATGTTATTAGCTTGAATTTCAGAATGGAAACCGCCGTTCTGGTGTTTGTTGTGCAAATTGCAGTACAAGAACGACCACCCTCTGGCGAAGAAACAACCAGGGCGAACCCGTCTGCAACGCGTGCGGCCTCTATTTCAAGCTGCACAGCGTAAGTAAACCAAATAGAGCCCATCCCATCCAATTTCCGTTTAAACAACAATTGCCCCAATTATCTTTAAACAAATAACACTCGTTTTCTTTTTGAAGGTGAACCGTCCGCTCAGCATGAAGAAGGAGGGCATCCAGACCAGAAAGCGAAAGCCGAAGAACGCGTCGTCCGGACATCCAAACCATCTGCCATCGCTGGCTTCCGGATCGGGTTTGGCCCTCCAATCGCGTGCTTTAAGTATGTATCCGTCCGCACGCCTAATTTTGCAAAATCGATTGGAAACTTTTAGTGATACCGAACACCATGTACCAAGGTAATATTCCAGCAGAACTAACAACGAACGACCAATACCAATTTCCATTAACAATTCAGCATCAACAGGGCCAGAGCACTCACACCATCAGACTTCCCAGCGCTGAACACATCAATCGCCAGGCAATTTTAAAGTAACGGTTTAGCCGTAGTTGTAGTCAGTTTGGTAACGTTTCTTTTAAGTTTACCACCCCTCGAGCCGGTGATGATCCCTCGCACGGTCGACGAGCAGGCAACCGTAATTACCTCAACGTCAACGGCGAACGATCTACATCGATCCGATTACAGCCACTCACCCAAACCGAACGCCAAATGACCTTTTTGACAATTTCAGCTTTTTTTTTACTAAGTATACAGATAAGAACTCTAGTCCGATGAATACCTATAAGCGTTTTCATTTAAAAATTGCGACTTGTTCAACAAAAATATGTCGATTAAGCGAAAAGTATTTATTGTTCCTTTCACGATCAGTGAGAATTGGTACCTACTTCTGTACTTTTTGTAATGTTTTTTTTTTTAATATTACAGATATCTATAATAACCGACATTTCCGCACTCCTACATTACAATCCTATCAAACTGATTGGCGCACTCATGACTCGTAACTGCATCGCTCGATTGCGCCTCGTGCTGTAACAATCGCGTGTATTGGTTTGCATTGGAAATAACATTCCAAATTTCGACGACAGTAATTGGACAATATGTGAAAATTATCCAATTTTGATAAGTACAGTTTTTTTGGTCAATATATCATCGCGGTAGTAGTTAAGAGAAGAGAAAAGAATTTTTTGCGGTTATTTATGTGCGATTTTGCAAAAACGTTACCGTATACAACAACTTACGTTCACACCTTATGATATATAACATATTTAACTAGATCGGAATAGAGCTCGCTGCGCTCGCTCCGACCGATCACGGGATTTCGTTTCCGACGCCGTTTTGGTATCACCCGCCGAATTCGGTGCGACGACGGACACGGACATTTGCGTGTCGTATTGTATAAGGTAAAAAAGCGGCACAATTCGATTCGGCTTAAAAAGAACCAACATATTGGTCAGCTCTTCTTTAGTCAATTTCATCGTATAGGTTGGTAAAAATGCATGCTTCGCATTTTAAGTCTCGGCTAGAATGAGTTTCTCATAAATACCGCCGAAAATAAGAAAGTTACGTTTTGCGACCGCGCCGCCTCGCCTCTCACACGTACCCAATTTGCCATCGATTCTAAAATGTGGACGAGTAATATGTAAAAAACTGCGTCGTTCTAACTCTCGGCGTCTCCGCATAAACGTCAAAATATGAAGAATGCGCATTCCGAAAGCAATGAAGTGTGGGGTTGGTGGAGACATAAGACCCTAAAGTAGTTGCCATCCTGCCTTACGCTTTTTATAGAACCGTAGAGCCGTTGGCACATCGCTCGGCTTCGCCTCGCAGTTAGAAACACAAAAGAAGGCGTTGCTCGGCTTCGGCGACTGCGCCGCCTTGCCTCACCCGTATACCGAAATCGCCGTCGATTCTAGAATGTGGACGAGTAATGTGGGAGACCAACATCGAAAACCGCATCGTTCTAACCCTCGACGTTCTCGAATTAACGCCAAATTATGGAAAAAGTGCCATCTGTATGCAATTAAGAGGGGGGGGGGGGGAGGGGGTAGGTTAACGTAAAATTCTAATGTAGATGCTACCCGGTTTTTGTAGAATTGCTCGCGTAGAATCTTTGCCCAGTTGCTCGGCTTCGCCTCGCTCGTTGCGTCGCAAAAAAAGGCATTGTTCGGCTTCGGCGGCTGCGCCGCCTCGCCTCGCGCGTTTTTATTCGATTCACCGTCGATTCTAGAACGCGACCGATCAATATAGGAGACCGACGTAAAATACCGCACCGCTCTATCTTTCGGCGATCCCGAATAAACGCCAAAATATGAAATCTACCGATGAAGAGAGGGTGGGGAGGAGGGAGTGTCGGATGTGAAGTCGAGGGATACAAGTACGACCCCAGAATAAAAAACCGCATCGTTCTAACCCTCGACGTTCCCGAATAAACTCCAAAATATGAAATCTACCGATGAGGAGAGAGTGGGGAGGGAGAGGGAGAGTCGGAAGTGAGGTCTGGGGATACAAATACGACCCCAAAGTAAAAAACCGCATCGTTCTAACCCTCGCGGTTTCCGAATAAACGTCAAAACGACGAAAAAGTATCGTTTAACGGCCCGGGGGTGGTTAACGGGGAGGTGCGCGGGTGCGAAAGGGGCGTCGGGGGATAGACATCGGAGACTTCCCGAAAACTTACCCTTCCCGAGGACGCTCGGCCGCCGTAAATATTTTTTACGGGCGATTATTCCACGTCTCGAATTCGGTCCGACTCTCTTTAAAAATTCACCCCTCTCGCACCCCTCGACGAAGGGGGTCGTGCGGTACGCCGTAAGTCGGGGGAGGTTCGGGGCGAGTTCGAGCTGCGGAAAGTTTTTCTTAGGTCGTCGGGTATTCGCGTCGCGAAGGATAAAGTGGAGCGACGTCGACGACGCCCAACTTTGCACCCTCCTACCCCCCAAACAAACTCATAGCCGGTATGGCGACCCCATACGTTAGGAGCGGGACCTTCCGGACTTTACGTCGTCGGATGCGATTCGAAAGAAAAAAGTGGTCACGTCTTTCCCCTCCCGTTTTCTCGTACGCGTCCTCCCCCGCTGGGGGGGGTGTCGCGAGTTTCGCGATCGCGTCTTTCGAAAGCCTCGACCCTCCTACCCCCCCCCCCTATCCGCGAGCTCGATTTTTCGAGTTTGACGGGCGACCCTCTGCGAATTTTTTTCCGGAAGCGCATTTTTGGGGGGGTAGCGGCGGGGGGGGGGGACAAATTTTCCTGGGGTAGCGGCGCATCGTAAAAGTCTCACCGTCGGAATTCGAGGCTCGTGTAAAAATTTGGCGAAGATCCTATTTGCCGATTTCGATGTATCGACGAAAAAGTCGAATTTTGCTTTGTAGCTTATTGTAATATTAAAATAAATTAAAAAAACGCAGCTTATCTTTTTGGAAAAATAAGCTAAGCTTAGAATATTCTTAAGAATCTTAGAATTCTCATAATGTTTTTAGGGTCCTCTTAAACTCTTTGGAATCTCCAGAATCAGGATAATTAAGATCCTTTGATAACATCTCTTAATGAGCTTTCTTAAAATCTTCTATCAAAAATATGTTTCAGATCTCTAGAGAATCTCTAGAAATTTTGGATCACCGTTTCTGAGATTTGACTAAATGTTGGTATTTTTAATTACAACACCCTGTAAATTTTAACGTTAATTTTTTTGCATTTTTTCCTGATGTATCACAACCTATACTTTTTTAAATCTTAGCCATGAACCAAGAATAAAAACCGCATTTTTTACGTTTTTTAAATAATAGGCCATGGATTCATGGAGATTTTGTTTTGTTTTGTAACCATGGTAACTAATACCAAGCAATAAAAATCGCTGAGGTAGCAGCATTCCCTACCCCCCCACAAGTGGGGATCTAATTTTCGGGTCATTCGATAAAAAACAACAGTAAGCACCCTGTATAATCCGATCATTTGTTTTAAATAGTTTACATAGCTTTGTTTTTAATGCGCCACTCTGTATATTTAACTAAGGAATAACCGCCATCGAGTATCTATACACGACTTCTAGGACAGTGCGTTTACAAAAGCTCGTTACGCCCCCCCCCCCTCACCATCCAATGAACGTCACGAGAAAACGAACTAAAATGTCACCTTTCAAATGACAGACTCTCTTCCTACCAGCTCCATATTTTTATGCATTGTATGGGACAAAAACCCTCGGGAAAACTACTCCCCTACCGCTACCCATTAACGCACGCCCGCACATGAACCCTCAGGTGATAATAACCCTTACCCTTACAGATGCCACTGTCCTAAAGCTGTTCAGCTCTTCCTTTTATGATGTGTCCCAATTTGGTTCTAATCGGTTCGTAGGCGGAAATGAGAGCACAGACCGACAGACCGAACGACATCATCGAGATTTTGTTTCATTCGAATTGCTTATTAGGGGGTGAAAATTCACGAAACCATAAATTTAATCACTTTTGTTATATATTGTGCACTAAATTTGAGCGTTTTTGAGTCTTCATATGAACAACTCGCCGGACAGACGGACAGACTGCCGCTCAAACGTAACGACTTTTTGATGCATTGAGAAGGAAATGCTCGTTCTACTTAATGCTGTGTTGGTTGCCTAAACAGCATCCATTACGAATGTCATCGACTAATTTCAATTCCAAATTTACGTCTTAATGATCACACGCAAGCATTGTTAGTTGCCTACACGCCCGGTGTAAATTTCAAGCCAGGTAATTATTCATCACCGCCATTTACATTATATTTCCTACACGCGGCTAATTATATAAACGGTCCGTCCTCCTTCGCGGCGATTTTAATATAAATCTTTTCGCTGTCGGCCTTATCTAAATCTTGTTTGCATTCCGCGGGTAAGACGATAAATTACCCCTACCGCGTCGACCATTTTCCTGGAAACGCGAGCTAAAAGCACTTTAGAAAACATACGCGAAAAAAAGAGACGGCGAAATTTCGGTTAGATTAGGACGTAAGTAAATAATTTTGTTTGAATTTTTTGTGCCGTAAATGGACACTTGACTGGGAACATAAATAACGCGAGTAACTGTTCATTTATTTATTGACGAGAAATACATTTTGGATTTAGACCAATAAACGCACTTGATTTTTGACTAATGCAAGAAATATTTGAGCTTCTGCTTTACGGTTCTAATGGTTCCTAAAAGTTTATTTATTATGAGTCGTTTTAAACATTTGGCTCATTATATAAAACGTTTAGGTGTTTTTAGTCCTTAGACTAACCTGGAGGAATATTCTCATATACGTTAAACTTCCCAGAAAACTTCCCCCCCCCCAAAAGAATAAATCCGAAGTCAAAAAAATGAATCTTTAAACAACTCTCCAAGCAGTTGTTTCTTAGGAGGGTTGATCCTCGATATTAACCCTTCTTCATGACCCGGTGACCCATGTCACAGCAACTTTAGGCGTCGGCACCCGCAGATATCGGTGAATTTAACTCAAGGTTTCAAAATTGGTATGTCGAACAAGAATTAGTGGGTAACGTAAAACGTACAGGAAACTTGGACCCTAAAAGAAATCAAAGGTAACCACTCTTTTTTGATGACGTACCATTTACCTACCTGTTATTCACGGTGTCCATTTTTCGAGTGCCACTATGGAGATCTCGCTTATCTTAAGAAATAGAGAGTTGGTTAAATGGGGGCATAGTTGCGAATTTTTGTGCTGAATAATAATCTGAGAAGAAATTCTTCAATAATTTTGAAAATATCGTAAATTTTATAATTTTTTCATGGTAAAGTAATCGTACTAGATATTTCTAAGTAACACTTTTTAATGGAGATTTCGAACATGGCATCCCGTTTTTAATAACTTTTAAGATGACGGAAAAACACATAGCAATTTTAGTTTTTCTTATGGGCACCATTTTAAATTTCGACATTTTGAGATTACGTCTTTTTTTCTCTTTA